TGCAGATGTACTCCCTAAATCTAAAATGAAAGTTCAAAAACAAAACAGAGAAAAGCTTACTGTATAGCTGTTTCTCTTGCAAATGAAAAATTAAATTCTGTGCCCTGTAACTAACTGAATAAACTCTCCTCTAGGCCAACGGTACCCAATGGAACCTGAAAATCTGTTCAGACCATGAAGGGAAGACAATGTTGGATGTGCCTTATTATACTCCCCTGCCTTTAGAGTTCAGGCACACAACTGACCAACATTAACATTTATACAGAGATCCTAAAATGTATTAACATTTATATAGAGATCCTAAGACTGACAGAACGGTCTCTTTGTAGCTATAAGATACCTAATTCCAACCTGACTCTGTTAAAATAATAGAGCATCACATGACAGATAGCAGGGCCCTGGAAGAAATGCATATTTTGAAATGTCCCTGTAAAGCTGTCTGTTGAAGGGGAAATTCTGCATTCTGTAGAGAATCTCTTTCCTTTACTAGGTCTCTCCAGAGGGTCTGACACCTTTGATAGGAGACATTCACATCTATTCTCTCTGAAGTCTGCTACTGGGAGGCTTCATCTACATGACAAGAGCCTTGGCGTCCACACCCTGTCCCCCACCACTCCCTGACTTACTTACCTCAAGCTAATTTCAACTCTTTAGGCTGAGCTTAGCCCTTTCAACCAATTGCCAATCAGGAAAAAATCTTTGAATTAACCTTTGACCTGTAAGCTGCACCTCCCTGCCTCATGTTGCCCCACCTTTCTGGATCAAACCAATGATTACCCCACTTACATTGATTGATGTCTCATGTCTCCCTAAAATACAAAACCAAGTTGTAATCCAACTGCCTTGGGCCTGTTCTCAGGACTGCTTCACTGGTCATGATCCTTAACCTTGGCAAAACTAACTCTTAAATTGATTGAGACCCATCTCAAGATACTTGGCTGGTTTACACTCTGTATTCTCATATTAGCGTCAGGAATCTGACTGCGCCAGGGAAACCCTCAGGAATATATTTGAACCTTTTCTGTCCTCCAGCAGCCAGCCAGTTACTATGTCCTACTGAATTTACTCCCGAAACTCCATCCCACCATCACAACCCTAGTTCAGGCCTTTATCATCTTGTATATACAGTGTTACAGCTGCCTCCTTTTAAACTTGTCTTCCACACTGTCAGCTGCGAGATCTAGTTAAAAACATGAGACCAGCTGGGTGTGGTGGCTCACTCCTGTAATCCCAGCACTTCGGGAGGCTGAGGCAGGTGGATCGCCTGAGGTCAGGAGTTCGAGACCAGCCTAGCCAACATGGTGAAACCCTGTTTCTACTAAAAATACAAAAATTAGCCAGGCGTGGTGGCAGGCACCTGTAATCCCAGCTACTTGGGAGGCTGAGGCAGGAGAATTGCTTGAACCTGGGAAGGTGGAGGTTTCAGTGAGCCAAGATCACGCCACTGCACTCTAGCCTGGGTGACAGAGTGAGACTCCATCTCAAAAAAACAAAAACAAAAACAAAAAACCAAAAAAACAAAAACCATGAGACCAACCAACTTTTCTGCATGGAGTCTTTCAGTAAGCTTCCATTTTCAAAGCTACATTTTCTAATCTTTTTCCTGATAGGGCACACATAGAAAAGGCTCTTTGTGTGGAACACGGGAGGCATGAAAGAGGCTGCTCGTTCCCAGAGTCAGCTGCTCTGGCAATATCGGCCATCCCAGGTCCATCCTAGCCCAACAGAAGTCAGACAAACCTGTCACCCTTTCTCTTGAGAAGTTCTTTGTGGGGCCAAAATTCAAAGCCTTCTGTGACCACAGCCTGCTTAGTCAGCCTCATCTCTTGCCACTCTTTAAGTACACATCTGTTCCAGCTGTGCCAAATCACTGTGGTTGTGTGTTTTGCTACCCCTGTGCCTGTGCTCATGTTGTTTTCTCTGCCTGCTATCTCTCCTCTCCCCACCTGGTCACCTGTGGGTTACCTTTTGAGAAGCAATACAGAAAGTATTACCTGAAACGTGTCTGCCAACCACCCCCACCTAAGCCAAATAGGTCAAGTATACCTCCCAGGGTTTCCCATGCTGCCCTGCATATAGCTCTTATCATCACATTGAGCACATTTTACTATAATTATGTGATTATTGATCTGCCTATCCTACCAGTCTGTGGTAGGTTCCTCAGCCAGGTCCCTAGGGGTGGGGACCTGGTCTTCATCCTCTTTGCTGCTCCTGGACTTCATCCTGGGCCTGGTTCATGGTAGGTGCTCGGTAAATGTTAAATAGAGGAATGAATGCTTCTGACAAAGAGGAAATTGAATCTAGAGCCTTGTGAAGCTGCAGGCTCTCCGATTCTGCTGCTCTGCAGGTGACTTAGTTTTGTGGAAATAGTTCTTCCCTTCTGAGTCCATGTTTCTTTTTTCCTTACCTAGGACAGCTCGTGCAGCTAGAAGAGAAAGGGCAGGGTTCAGTGCCCTGGTCAGTATATGGTGTCTACATCCAGGCTGCTGGAGGCCCCTTGGCATTCCTGGTTATTATGGCCCTTTTCATGCTGAATGTAGGCAGCACTGCCTTCAGCACCTGGTGGCTGAGTTACTGGATCAAGCAAGGAAGTGGGGTAAGGTTACTCATAAATGGGAAAGTTCTGTGTCTAAGAATGTGGCTATTTCTCCCTATTCCCTGGCTATTCTTAGGGAAACTGTTCTAGTTTTCACTTAAAAGCCATGAAGAGAGATTTTTCCAGGATGAAAAGATGAGTCCCTAATGTAGCCTCACCATAAAGAAAAAAACCCTGACCAACCCACAGGGCAGTAGGGCATGTCAGTAGGACACCTGCAGGCTATCTGCTCTCATCCATTAGATATTAGTCCATTTTTGCACTGCTATAAAGAAATATCCAAGAGTGGGTAATTGATAAAGGAAAGAGGGTTAATTGACTCACAGTTCCACATAACTGGGGAGGCCCCAGGAAACTTACAATCATGGTGGAAGGCAAAGGAGAAGCAGGCACCTTCTTCACAAGGTGGCAGGAGAGAGAAAAGAGAGCATGTGTGTGCAGGAGGACATCTTAAACACTTCTAAAACCGTCAGGTCTCGTGAGAACTCACTGTCACGACGAGAACAGCATGGGGAAACCACCCCATGATCCAGTCACCTCCCACCAGGTCCCTTCCTCAACACCTGGGGATTACAATTCAAGATGAGCTTTGGGTGGTGACACAAAGCCTAACCATATCACATTAGAATGGTGAGAAAGAGAGCTAGGTGTGGTGGCTCATGCCTGTAATCCCAGCACTTTGGGAGGCCGAGGCAGGCGGATCACTTGGGGCTAGGAGTTCGAGACAAGCATGGCCAACATGGCAAACCCCCGTCTGTACTAAAAATACAAAAATTAGCTGGGCATGGTGGTGTACACCTGTAATCCCAGGTACTTGGGAGGCTGAGGCATGAGAATTGCTTAAACTTAGGAGGCAGAGGGTGCAGTGAGCCATGATTGTGCTTCTGCACTCCAGCCTGGGTGACAGAGCAAGACACTGTCTCAAAAAAAAAAAAAAAAGATAAAGAGGTGGACAAAGCCATGGCCAGGTCTCAGGGTCATTATCCTGTACCCTGCCCTGCCCTTGAGCTGAGAATGGCGCTGAGCAGGGGCTCTTGGCAGTCTTTAGGAGTCTTGCCTCATAGAGCTTTGGCTCCAAACAGAACACCACTGTGACTCGAGGGAATGAGACCTCGGTGAGTGACAGCATGAAGGACAATCCTCGTATGCAGTACTATGCCAGCATCTACGCCCTCTCCATGGCAGTCATGCTGATCCTGAAAGCCATTCGAGGAGTTGTCTTTGTCAAGGTACGCAGTGGTGGGTGGTGTCTGCCCTCCTCCCTGGTGACCTGTGGTCAGGCTTCGGTGTGGCATCACTCAATTCATGCTGAGTAGGGGAGCTCCCTTAAGCAGGATGGCCCTGGCTGAGATGACTCATACTCCGTTAGCCTTTGCCTTTTCTCACTTGCCACCCGTCCCTCCTGACCCCTCGCACCTCCCCGCTTTGGGAGAGGATGTGCTGTGGAGCGGTTCTCTGGACCAGTAGGAACAGAGCCGTCCTGGGCCCTGACCACTCTGTGCTCTGCTCCTCAGGGCACACTGCGAGCTTCCTCCCGGCTGCATGATGAGCTTTTCCGAAGGATCCTTCGAAGCCCTATGAAGTTTTTTGACACAACCCCCACAGGGAGGATTCTCAACAGGTTTTCCAAAGACATGGATGAAGGTATTTCTCACTGAGCCTTTTTTTTAATGCTCTGGAGCTCACTGTGCTTCCAGCCTTCTAGATGATTCTCCAAATGTGCAGATCTGTCTGTCTGTAGATCCTGAGAGCACGGTAGCTGCTGGTGTTTTCACCAGGAACATTGCATCTGCGTTTTCTGTCTTGTTTGACCTGAAAACAAATTCAATGGTTTGAGTTAGCAGAAAGGCTTTGGACAGACGCATCTGAGATTCTGAAAC